TGATTAATTATAATGCCAACCTGAAAGTCTGCTTTCCACTGCCCCCATCCACTCAAATCGGCATTAAATGGTCAGATGGCCCATCAGGATTTCGGATCTGACCTACTTTCTACTTTCTTGGGTTCTGGCCTTGAAAGACCGAAGACACATTCAAGCTCATGGTATCAAGCCAGCATGGAGGGATGGATGAAGAGTGCTCAAGAGACACTGCCTGAACCCCGTCCTGGGTGCTGCTTGCAGGTTAAAGAGAAGACCCATTTTCTGAACTCAAGACACGATGGTTCAAAGTGGAGAGTGCAAAGTCCCATAAAAGAAATAGTACAGAGTGTAGGGCCTGAAGGAAAAGAACAGGAAATGCTTATAGATGAGGTGACGGTTGAGACGAGTGAGAATTTAACAGGAGAAGACTTGGGAGGAATGAAAGGAGGCATTCTGGACAAAGGTAACAAAGTAAGAGGCAGGAAAGCACCGGGAAGAGAAGGGAGGAAGTTTTCGCTGGCAAGAAGGCTATATATAGGCTGAGGATCACGGGAAATGAGCACAGCTAAGGCAGTTAGGGAGCTGGGTCACGATGGCCAGAGGAGGAGCCTTGAATGAGCAAATATCGAATTGGTAGGTAATGAGGAGCTAGTGGAGGCTCCCCAAACGGCAGTGGAGAAATCCAAGGCATGCCTTGGAAACCTGCGCCTGGCAACGGGACGGACAGAAATAAACAGGGAAAGGGGCATCACAGAGCCCCAGGTGAATCAGCAGCAGTAGCTCACATTATCGAGGGCTTACCGTGTACCAACCCTGCTGATCTCATTTAATCCTCACAACAAATCCCTAAGGTACTCTTACCATTCCATTTTAAGGATAAGGAAACCAAGGCACGGAGAAGTGTCCCAGAGACCACACGACCAGTCAGCAGGGGGACCGAGGACAGCTATCCCAGCTGGTCCGACTCCAGAGCCAGAGCACTTGACCAGCAAGCCGGGCAGCTGCTGAGTGGGGGCCTGGGCCCTGCACTGTGATTTGAGCTGAGCTGAGTAGGGGGAACGATGTAAGGAACACTGCAGAGATGCTGCCTCTGTAACCTACCAGCTGAGGTGAAGGACTGACTGGAAAAAGTGTGAAATAGGTTCCTCAGGGCTGTTGCCCATCAAGCCAGCAAACCCCGCCCCCCCCGCCATTCGCTCATGGGCGTATGTAAGTCCTGCTGCAAAGGATCCAACACATAGACTGGCTGTTTCCAGAAACAGCTTAGTTTTCAACAGTTGGAGCCTATTTGCTAAACAAACTGAATAACCCCAAGAACTGCCAGGAAAAGAGGTGGTGACTGTGTAACGAATTGAACTGTATCTCTTGAAATTCCTATGTTGAAGTCCTAACCCTCTCAGGACCTCTGAATGTGACCTTATTTGGAAATTGGGGCATTGTAGATGTATCAGTTAAGATGAATAGGGTGGCTCCTAGTCCATTATGACTGGTGTCCTTAGAACAGGGAAAATTTGAATACAGATGTATACACAAGGAGAACGCCAGTGAAGATGAAGGCGGAGGTTGGGGTAATGCGGTAAGACCAAGAATCGCCAAAGACTGCCAGCAAACCACCAGCAGCCAGGTCCTGCCGCAGATTCTCTCTCACTGCCCTCAGGAGCCAACTCTGCGTACACCGTGATCTCCAGAACTGTGAGACAATGAATTTCCATTGTTTAAGCCACCCAGTTTGCAATACTGTTATGGCAGTCTTGGGACACTAACACAGTGACCGATGCCACCCTTTCCATACAAGGCTATAGGGCCATCTTTACTGCGCCCTTTAGTCAGCAGAAGGAAGAGCCTACTGTGAATCTTTGTAGCACTGCAATGTATTGGACTATTTCTGTTTCCTAGTTGTGAGTTAAAAACAAGCAAGTGTTTGAAAGTTCGTCTGTCTCCAATTGTCCAGGCATCAGGGGCATGCTCTGATTTTGAAAGGAAAAAAATTTTACTTGGACAATTAAGGACCTTTCTCTTCCTTTTTCCTCTGAGAAGCAAGTACTGACTGTATCAGATTCTTCCTGTGACCTGAAGAAACCCAGTTCATCGAGCAGCAAATCAAGGGGTCCTGCTGGACCCCTCGCCCAGCAGACGGTGCCCATCCCAGGTCAAGGGGCCACATCGAGATGACCACAAGCCTTCTCAGTTTCAAAATGGCAACAGCTCCCTGATGCTGGCTGTACGCAGTCACCCCGTCCTGAAATATGCTCACACATTCCGTTCTGCAAAATCTGTTCATTTCTTTGTTTCACTTGTGCATGTGCATCGCTTTGAAGAGCACGTGCTTCACGGGTTGTGAGTGCATGGCGGTGGTGGTGAAGGGAAGCGTGTGTGCCCTGGGGAATTCCGGGTCGTTTTCAGATGGTGCTTAGCCCCATTAAGAAGTGAAACCAAAACTGTACTTCTTTTGATACTTGGAAAATCCCCTACTCCAAAATATTTTTGCACATGTACAAAAATTGTGGAAAATTGTACTATAAAACCTGTCTCCTACAACGCAAATGTAAGCCACCAGACAATCTATTTAAAAACAAAGCCAACTTATGATGTTCTCATTGGGCAAGCACTCCCCCCCCTTTGAAGTTAACTAACTAATTTACTGAGCACTTACGATGTGACAGGCACAGTTCTAAGCCTGTTATGTGAAATAAACTGTTTCTCAAAACAACCCCATGTGGTAGGCACCTTTGTTATTCTCATTGTGAATGAGCAGGTGAGAATGCAGCACAGATAAGTTAAGGAACTGGCCCAAGCTGTAAACGATGGAGCTGGGTTTCAAAATCAGGCAGGTCTGGCTCCAATACACCTCACCCCCTTAACAAACAAACAACCAAGCCAAATAGACAAAAAGAAATAAAGTGAGTGGGGACAGGTTAAGGAGAGTGGGTTGAGGATGGAGGCGAGAGAAGAGAACACCAATTACATTCCAGGCACTGGGCTGGCACCTCACACATGCTTTTCCAATTTAATTGGTACAACGCCCCCAAGGTAAGCATCACTCTCCCACTGATGAAACACTGAGGCTTGGTGTGATTAACCTGTATGAGGGCACAGTAGTAAGTGATGCCCCCCAAACCCAGATTTGCGGATTTTCTCCCAGAGTAACGGTTTCAAATTCTAACTTTAGCATTATCGATGGTACAATCTGCTTTTAAAAGTCAATCCAGCACTGAAAACAATGAGCCTGGGTCAGGAGGGAGAGGCATTGCCCCATTCCAGCTGCACCTTTGTCCAGAGAACCTGAGTATAGTGCGAGTGCTTAATTTATGTGCCAGTCTGGGAGTCAGGAAGCTCAGGTTCTAGTCCCACTTCTGGCTCTAATTAGCTGTGTGGCTTTAGTCAAGTCTTCTAACCTCGCTGGGCCTCTTTTCCTTAAGTACAAATTGGATATAAGGCTGTCTGGCCTGTGCACCTCACAAGGTTGATGTAAAAAAAGGCATTACCAATAAAAATGAATTGGCTGTGAAAATGGTTTAAGGTGCTTGACAACTGATCATCGCCAGAATGAACAGAACCAGGTCATCCCAGCAGGTTCACACATGCCAGCCAGGAAAGGCAATGCCAGAACAGCTCCATATGAATGTCCCCCTCTCCCCTAGGAAACCTGGGGCCAAGACTTGATCTAGGCCCCCAGAGCCGGAGCTTTCCCCAAGGCAGGCTTGCCTGTCTAAATAGGTTATCAACCAGGTAATGCTGGGGGTGGGTGGAGTCCTTGCAGAGCAAACAGTCTTGCCTCCCTCCAGGTTTCTGTGTACTATGCAAGCTGGTTGGCATTCAGCTGGGAGGGGGGCTGGGTACCATCTAGTACAGCATCCCGCAGTGGGTTTCACCCCGTAAGTTACAGAATCAGGAAAGATAGCAGTGAAGCACACACCTCTTATTAGAAGGCAGAGGATACAGGTGAGGATCCAGATTGGATGTGTAGGAAGAACCTTCCACTGTTTGAACAGACAGGAGCCCACCAAGACTCTCACTAACCCCCACCCTGGCCCCAGGAAGAGGAAGGGATCAGATCTGCATAACAGTGAATCACCGAGCTCTTCAGCACAATGACCCCTCCAGGAGGGGGTGGAGAAGCTCGTCTGACAACTGCCTACACAAAAGGCAGTTCTAAGAGCAGCACACAAACCTGTCTAGCCCCAATTCCCATTTTGCATAAGATTGCAATCCACAAATACGTCCAACGAACAGCTGTTGATCGATACCAATAAAGGTGGTTTTGTGGGAATTAGAATTAAGTGTCCTCGGATTGGAAGGGGCCAGTGGGTGCAACACCGATACTTCAGTCAGCAGATCTTGGTGAACTTTGTTTCAACAGGATGTTAAACCAAAGGGAACCTGTGAGTCACTAGGTGACTGTCGGAGTACCTGCTTTATGCTAACACGCGGCTGTTACACACGTTCCAGGAGGAGCGTTGTTAGCGCAGGGGACGGTGGGGTCACAGCGGGACAGTCTGCCTTAATCAAGGGAGGCGGCAAAACGAACTGCAATTGGGTTGAAAATTCGGGCGAGGGCCATCGCGTTAGGCCGGGAACGAGGTTTTTAAAGAGAAACGTGCGTCCTCCCGGAGGCCAAGGCCTCCTTCGGATCCTCCGGGTCAGGCACGGGTTCCAGGAAAAGACACCTCACTATAGACAAGGTACTGAGCGAAGGCAGTGGCAACAAAGTCGCCAGCATCCCTTCTGTTCTCCTCAGCCCCGAACTATCCTTAAGCCATCAAACACAAGAAAGGTGTCCCTACAACTAAATGGATTTCACCCACTTCTCTCTCAAAAACCTAAAAGCCACTGCGATAGCACTGACGGCCCTCGTTCCGAATCACGAAAAGGAAAGGCGCTGAGTCGCCCGCGAACTTGCAACTACCCAGCGACCGAGGGTACAAGGGCAGCAGGGATGCCCGCTCCCCAGGTCTCTCGCACCCCCAGGGCTCCTGGCCAGCACCCCCAGCCCCGCGCTCGCGTCCCCGCTCTCCTGTTACCTCGCTTGCGCGCCCGCTGGCGTCCGGCACCTGAGCCGTCGGTTCCGCCGGCGCCTTCTCCTCTTCCCCAGCAGCCAAGGGGCTACCTGGAGCCGCTCCGGGGTCCCCACCGCCCCCAGGCGCAGCCTGGCTACCGCCGTCCGCGCTGGCGCTGGCTCCTCCCGTCGACGAGGCGGCGGCGCCGAGCAGCCCGTGGGCCCCGTCGGAGTTCCCCGCCGCCACACTGTGCACCAGCCACGCATCCACGCGCGTGCGGGGGATGAATGGGACCCCCAGAGCGCGCACCTCCCGGAGCAGCTGGCCCTCGGGCTCCGCCACGGGGTCCGGCTCCCGGCCTTTGGGATGCAGGTGGTCCGCGTGTCCCCACCCTCCCGAGGCCGGGAAAGGGTCGAGCGCGTAGGCGGGACTCGGCGGGCCGCTCCCAAGCAGCAGCTCATCCCGGAGCAAGGTGGGCGGCGGGAGCAGCAGGTACAGGTCCAGGTCCAGGTGGAGCCCCGCCAAGCTCAGCAGGATGGTGAGGTGCAGGAGACCGCCGCCGTCGGACCACCACGGCTTC